TGACGCTATTTTGAGGGGTTTAACTTGTTTTTGAACAGGGAACTCATTTATTTTGTGAGATTTTGTCTAAACAAGGTGCAAAATCATAAAATTTGCTCGAAATTGGCGTTTTTGAGTGAGATTTTTTTAAATTTTTTTGTAATTTTGTCAAAACCTGTTTCCATTATTCCAACATACAATTACAATTAACGTCAAAAAATACAACTGAAACACACTTTATTGAAAAATTCTGTAACATAGCAATAAATAAAAACTTAAACAACTAAACAGTCAAGAAATTATCATAATTATTTGTACACTCGTACAATTCTTTGATAATTGGGTGGTCGCATATTCGTGTACAAATCTTTCAAAAATCTCGGTTGACGTAAAACTGTTTCTTCAGTTGTTTGTCTGTTGATTGGTTGAGCTTTTCCGTAAATTTTATACTGAAAACGGCTTTGTTCCGGTTGGTACTCCTGTTCTTGTTGATAAACGATTTGGACTGGCCTCAATTGCGAACTCTCTGGGATCGTCCTATACGCTTGTTGGAGATAATTAACCTCTTGAACTCGCTGATCTTGGTATTTAGTACTAGGATTTGCATACAGAATTGGGACTTGTTCGCGTAACAGCGACGTGTCAATGGGGTATTTGGCCACAATTGGGACTTGCTGTTGTTGTTGTTGTTGTTGTCGTAACAGCGACGTGGCCCCAATTGGGACTTGCTGTTGTTGTTTGAAGTACAAAACTTGTTGGTTTTCAAGAGCGTTCGATTGGTCGAAATCCTGACTACGTCCACGTCCAAAACTCGTTGGGACTTCAGTACTTTTAATGATTTCCACACCCGGCCCCAAATTCCTCCACGAGTACTTTTGTTGTAAATCTTGCACGTTTGCGACTTGTGGTTTGGCTTGTTCCAATGTCTTGTAGTATTTTTGCGTGGCTGGTGACAAATTGGCTTGTGTTAGTAAAATTTTCGGATTTGGATAAGTCGAAACGACTTGAGGTTTCGGTTTAATTCCTGAAATTTTATGTTTTTTGCTACTGATAAAATCCTGTGGACTTTGGACTTGTTCGTTTTCTTTTCTAGTTCCAGTTATGATTTCAGCATTTTCCAAATTGTTGGTGTATTTTACAGGTGGTTTACCATTGGTAAACCGGACACTGTATCCAACGTTGAATAGTTGGGATTGGTCTGGATTGAAGTTGACTTTGACTGAACTTTGGGCTGATTGATCGGGATAATTGGGGTTTTCGTGAATAATGTTGTTGATGTAGCCGAGAAGTTGGCGTCTTTGGGCGATTTCTTTGGGTTGGCGGGATATGGAGAGTACCACAGGGAGGAGAAACACCTAGAAAAACACATTTGCTCCAATTAGTTAGTGTGAGAGCGATGACCGGAACATTTGTGTTAATTAAATCAGTTTTTACGCACGAATTTGTGAATTGAATTGAATTCAATTTGCAAGTAATTTCAAATCACCAAATTTGGGCCACAAATCCTTAATTGTGTTGGAAAATTACAGTTGGAATTGGAATTGTGTAATATTCGAATTATTTTGTGACGTTGCGAATGGCGGGATTACGAAATGGGTTTTTGTGGATCTTGCCATTTTTTGCGGAAATTATTACAATAGTTTTAGTCGAACTTTCGTACGAGTTAGTGTAATAATTGTCCGAATAAATTACTTATTTCGTGCTTAAGTGCGAAATTGTGTAGAAGTGCGTGCGTGTTGAGTATTTTCGAGTGCCTAATAGACATTTAATAGTGCGTGATTATTAAAATTTTGAGTTATTAGTTTTTGTTTATCGCCAAGTGAAGTGTGTGAGTTTATGATTTTTCAGTGTAACAGTAAATATCTATTAAATTATAGATACACTGTATTATTTGTTGAGTTGAGGTTTTACTGTAATTAAAAAAACAGTTGTTTTAGGCAAATTATTTGATTTAAACGATAATTTAGCTTGACTAAGTACAAAATCTATTTTGGCTTGTTTTTGCCAAGCAAAACAAAAAATCACCAAATTTGGTCGAAATTTGCCTTATTTTTGTTGTTTTTAAGTGAGAAACTCATTTGTATCGTGAGATTTCGCTCAAACAACAAAAAACACCAATTTTCTTTCAAAATTGGCGTTATTGTGGCCTATTTCGAGGGATTTAGCTTTTCTTGCTCATTTATTTTGCGAGATTTCGGTCAAACAAGACGAAAAATTACCAAATTTTATCGAAATTAACCTATTTTTGTCGTTTTTGAGTGAGAAACTCACATATTCTTATAATTTCGTCAAAATAAGTCAAAAAAATAACTAAATTCTTTTAAAATTCTGCGGCTTTAGCTTCTTTTGATGGATTTTATTTTTTTAAATGAGAAACCCATTTATTTTGAGAAATCTAACCCAAATGAAACGAAAAATCACCAAATTTTATCGAAAGTGGAATTATTTTTGGTCCGTTTTGAGTAATTTACCCCATTTTTGAGTAAAAAACTCTTTAAAATGACCAAATTATTTGAAAATTGACGCTATTTTGAGGGGTTTAGCTTGTTTTTGAACAAGGAACTCCTTTAGTTTGTGAGATTTTGTCTAAATAAGGCGCAAAATCATAAAATTTGATCGAAATTGGCGTTATTTTTGTCGTTTTTGAGTGAGATTAAAAAAAAATTCTTTTGTAATTTTTTCAAAACTAGTCAAAAATAATCAAATTATTTTAAAATTAATGCTATTTTGGCCTGTTTCGAGGGATTTAGTTTTTTTTAGCAAGAAACTCAAGTATTTCGTGAGATTTCGTTCAAACAACACAAAATTAGTAAAATTATCAAATCTGATCGAAATTTGCCTCATTTTTGTGTGTTTCGAACGATTTACTATGTTTTTGTGTAAGAAAATCTCTTATTTTATGGAATTTTGTCAAAATAAGTCAAAAAATGTCCACATTTGATTTATTATTTCGTAAAGTCTTGTCAAAACCGGCTTTAAAATAGCCAAATTGGATAAAAATCGATGGTATTTTGGTCTGTTTCGGGAGATTTAGCTTGTTTTTTAGCGAGAAACTCATTTATTTTGTGAGATTTTGCCTAAACAAGACGAAAAATTACAAAATTTTATCGAAATTAGAGTTATTTTGATCTGTTTTGAACAATTTACCCCGTTTTTGAGTAAAAAAACTCCCTTATTTCATGAAATTTAGAGAATGTAAACGACGAATCCAAGAAAATTTAATAAAAACAAATTTTAAAAAAATATCAAAAGTGTAAAAGTCGTAAGATAAAATTAGAAATCAAGTTAGCTTTGTATATTTAAAAAAAAATCACAGGTGACGGATTTTCAAAAAAAAAATTAAACTAAATTTAAATTACTTAATTGACCACAAAAACATCTACAAATCTAAAACAGAACTAAATTTTGGTTGTAATAATATTTTATTTTATTTGAAGCTTTTGTAATGATTTAGTGGCAAACTAAATTAATACTCAATTTTTGCACAAAAATCAACGAAAAAAATTACTTGAAAATTTGAGATTTTTGTTTTAATGTAGTTTGCGCTCGTTTTTTGCCTTTAATTATAGTAAAACAAAATTCCAGTTAAATGTTTTTTTTTTCAAAGTAATATTTTTTCATTTTTTTGATATACAGGATGACTGTAAATGATTGCGATTTTTGGTCGAAATTTTAATTTATCAACGAAATCTAATATATTATTGTTAATTTTTACATTTTTTTAACGAGAAAAGAGTTTTTTCTTATTAATTTTCTTGTAAAAAAACACAAAACACAAACGTTTGTTTAGTTTTTATTACACAGGGTGACTGTAAATGATTGTGATTTTTGGGGTCACTTTGGCAACTTTAAAACTTTAATTTCGCAACTTTGAGTATAAAATTCAAACAACACATGATTGTACACAATTATAAAAATCAACAACAATTCAATGGTGCCAATTGTTTTCTTTTGCTACAATCATTTATACTCACCTTGTAGATTAATTTAACTCGGCGATGTGAAATTAATTACTTTTTTTGGTTACTATTTGTTAAATTTGAATGTTTTAATATGATTTTAGAAATTTTACACTTTTTTAAAAATTCGTTTTTGTTTTCTTTTCAATGCAAATTAAAACAGATATTAAAACAGTGGATTTTATTAGTTTCTTGATAAAAAAAAACAAGTATAAATAAAAAATAATTAAATTAAATTTAAATTAATTAATTGACCACAAAAACATGTACAAATCTAAAACAGAACAAAATGTTGGTTGAAAATAAGGAAAAATACATGAAACTGGTGAATTTTCTTTGTGAATTTTTGCGAATTCCAAGCGTAAAATCCGTGTTCCAGTATGCAAAGTGCATCGTTTGAAAATAAACAAGGAATTTTCTTACGTCCCAATAACCTTGATAACGATCCCAGTTCGTAGCTTATTATAATAATTCAATAATTTATTTGGGTATTGTTCGAATTGGCACGAATTCGTGATTTTCGGATGTAAAATGAAAATTTCATCGATCAAACTTACGAGTAATTTCATTTTGTCGTCTGCTTCAACACTGCCACCATTTATTTTTTCGATGTCGATGTTGAAAAAGCCGCGAGCACTACAGAAATGAGGGATTTTCAGAGAGATATATTGTGTTTATAAGATTCCCCCCATTTCGTACCAAGCGCACAATTATTACCATAACGTAAAACACACGGCTTTCTGAATAACTTTCTCAGATGGCACCGACACGAAGGAGAAAAAAAATTGTTATTTCACATAATGCGGGGTTGATTAGAGCGTTCGTTCTCCTTGTCTAAAGCATAAAACACGAAGTAATTTCTTAACGATCTCTGATTTCTCAACCCAATTAAAACCATATTGATTTTGAAGTTATTCAATAGGCGAGAAAGTGATTGAACTTGAGAAAGGGATAGATTTTTATGTAATTGATAGACCACAATTTTTTTTTTGTTCAAGTTTCACACTGAAATCAAATGTGGAAGTTCCTGTTTATTTTCTACAATGACCATAACTGTACCGGTTTCACTTTCGTGTTTTTCCTTGTTTTGTTTTTATTTCTGCAATGTCATTACCAAGACTAATTGTTTTTTAAATCTTTTGTAACTCTTGTTAAAGTGAAACTTTGATAATTTGGCTAGAAAAATCGAAAAATTGATTTTTTTGGCCAATTTTCGCTATTGGTTTTTCAGTTTTTGCTCTCATTTTTGATTATTTGGTTAAAAATGTTGGGTACACAGAGGATTAAAAAAGTTGACATGTGAAAGTATCCAATGAACGTATTTTTAAAAAGTTGAAAAAAATGTGCAAATCCCAAATTGTAATGATTTTTGGCCAGTTCTTGTATTTTGTAATTAAGTCTACGATGTTTTGTAATCATTACAAAGTGAAACTTTGATAATTTGGCTAAAAACGTTCAAAATTTGGACAAAAATTTTTAAATGTAAAAAAATGGTGGAAAAGTCAAAATCGATTAAAATTTTGGCCAATTTTATTACTATCAATTTTTCACTTTTTACTTTTATTTTCGAATTAAATTTGATGATTTTGTTTGATTATTAAAAATGAACGTATTTTTGTAATTTCAAAACAATTAACCCAAATGTCAAAATCGATAAAAAATTATTCCTTCAAGGTTTTAATGTATTATTTGTTATACAAAAAAATTAAACGTCAAAAAAATTTAGTTCGATAAAAAGTAGATGAAATGTAATTTTTGGCCGGTTCTCACATTTTGGTGTTTTGTAAACATTTCATTTTCCAATTTTAACGATTAACAATGTTAAAAATTTTGATTACACTAAAAAATGACAGTGAAAATATCCAATGAACAAAATTTTTGAACGTCAAAAAAATGAAACAAATTTCAAAAATTGGACAAAATCCGAATTGTGAGCGATTTTTGCGTTTCACTATTGTTTTATCACGATTCCGAATTACAATTTCAACGATTTATTTATTAATTTGCCTAAAAATTCAACAAAAAGGAACTGGAAGTGCGAGTATCTGATGAACGAATTTTTTAAACGTTAAAAAAATTGATCCAAAAAACCAAATCGATAAAAATTAAACAAAACTCGAATTGTAATGATTTTTGGCCAGTTTTTGTATTTTGTAATTAATTCCACGATGTTTTGTAAAGTGAAACTTTGATAATTTGGCTAAAAACATTCAAAATTTGTACAAAAATTAATTGACACGTGAAAGTTTCCACTGAACGAATTTTTTAAAATGTCAAAAAAATGGTGAGAAAGTCAAAATCGATTAAAATTGGACAAAATCCGAATTGTGACGATTTTTGGCCAATTTTATTACTATCAATTTTTACATTTTTTTTCGAATTAAATTTGATAGTTTCGTTCGATTACTTGATTAAAAATGTTGGACACACTGAGAAAAGAAGTGAAAAAGTTGACATGTGAAAGTATCCAATGAATGTATTATTATAATCTCAAAAAAATTAGCCCAAATTTCAAAATCGATAAAAATTTAATCCTTCAAGGTTTTAATGCATTATTTGTTAATATGCATAAAAATATTGGATACGCAAAAAAATTAAACGTCAAAAAAAATTTTGATGAAATTCAATTTTTGGCCGCTTCTCACATTTTGGTGTTTTGTAATCATTTTCCAGTTTTAACGATTAACAATGTTAAAAAAATTGATTACATTAAAAAATGACAGTGAGGATATCCAATGAAGAAAATTTTTAAACGATAAAAATTACCAAAACTCGATTTGTAACGATTATATATGCATAAAAATATTGGATACACAAAAAAATCAAACGTCAAAAAAAATTTAGTTCGATAAAAAGTAGTTGAAATGTAATTTTTGGCCGGTTCTCACATTTTGGTGTTTTGTAATCATTTCATTTTCCAATTTTAACGATTAACAATGTTAAAAATTTTGATTACACTAAAAAATGACAGTGAAAATATCCAATGAACAAAATTTTTGAA